CATCACTACTCTAATGGGGACCATTAGCTTTATCCATTGTAGGCTTTAACCTATCATCAATGACCATTGAGACAAATCTATAGCTAACATTGCACAACCATCTAGGTTTAAACTCTTTGCTAATAAAGAGGTCCTCATCTTTTGGAATTAAGGCTAAGAAAGTGCTATTAAGCTCAGTCATCCTCCTTGGATCAAGAAATATACTTTTAAGCATCTCACATATTAATTGACCAATTATACCCCAATGGTCTTAGAAGAAAAAAGATCAAATACCTTCTAACCGTAGGGCCTTAAAAGCACCAATTTCAAACACAACAACTTCAATTTTAGAATCACACACCTCATGACAAATAGCACTCAATTCCGCATTGGTGAGGTAGGGAAAACTCCTTAAGGTAACAAGACTTCTATCTTTGAAAATTAGTTTTTGCTAGGGCTTTGAGTTCATCCTTCTCAACAACTCACTGGTTGTTATACCCCTCCAGAGCATCAATATTTTTTTTCCTTCTTCTAACAATAATGGAATTATGAAAAAAAATTACTATTCCAATTCCCCCATTAAAGCCAATTGCGCCTGAACTTTTAAAACTACAATAATTCCTCTTGAGCATAGACCTTATTATATTCAGTGTAGAGTTCTTTTTTCACTTGTTGCAGATAAGAGGAGTCACGAGTAGCCCTCAATTTATCAATCCCTTCTAAACTACTTAGTAGCTTTTTTTTTTTTACCTTTTGAGGCAAATTTCCATCCCTGTTCGAGTTCCACTTAGTAGCATCCTTGGTAAATTTATCAACACTTTAAGACTAATTTCCACCACCCCAAGAATCTCTAACTAAATTGATGAAATTAAGTTCAAGATTCCAAGCCACTTGGCATTTGAACATAATTTTCCTTTGTCATGGCTTGGATCCATTCTAAAACTTAACATACAAGAGTCAATGGTTAGATCCAAACTTGCCTAAATGAAGAACTTTGGGCTTCCAAAAGGAAGAATTAAAAACAATATTAATAAGCACCCAATTAATCCTTTCTTTAAGCAAGTTTCCCCCCTTGAGTGGAGAAACGTGACTAGCATATTTTATTTAATTAGTATTTTAAGCTTTAATAATCTATTTTCGGCTTAAGCTTATTTTTCTTTCCTTTTGTAAGTATAAGAAGTATGTTTCAAACGACAATACAAAGCACTAGGTAGCCCACTTTCAATTAAATTGTTACATGCACAAGAATTAGAGTTTGAACCTTAAACTACTTGCTTAGGTGACAAAAACTTTTATCACTCATGCCAACTTTCATTAGTTTAATTTCTTTTGGCTCTTGAGTTTAAGTTATCAATTTTCACATTAGGATTTTTAGAGAGTTTTAGTTGAGTTAAAAGCTTTTTATTGGATTAAAAAAATGTCTTTTATTTTTTTTTAAATACCACTCATATGTAGATGGCATTAGGAGAGTATATTGAATAAAGAAGTTATTTCTTTGGTATTTTGGATGAAATACCATGTGGTCTTTTTAGGTAATCATGGTGTTGCAAGTTCCTCACTTGAAAGATCTTAAGCGTGATTCCAACTTTTTCTATGAGTATTTTCAATTAGTGTGTTCTCCATGAAATAACTCACATGAGATATTCTGTAGGTTTCTGTAACAAAATATGACATTAAATATATATTTCATAGGGATAAATTAGAAAATTATTAAAATTTAAGACAACATTTATGAGTTTTGAAGTTTCTTTTAATTTTGATAAAATATATTAGAAGTAACTTATAAATAAGATAAGAAAAGTATGCCCAAAGAGTTGGATGTAAATTTTTTGGACTAACTTGAAAAGTCTGATTTATAAAACAATACAATTCCCCCAATTTTTTAGGCTTATTTAAAATCTTGATCTAAATACTAACTATAATTGAACCCACACATATTTATACATACATAATCCACACATATAAAACTTTATATTAAATTAATTGGGCTTGGGATTTCTGGCTTTTGCGCTAATGCCCAATAATGAACTACTTGTCTACACAGCCAAATTAATAATTAAGATAAAATTAGAGAATTAAATATTTCATTATTCAAAATAATAAAAACAAAAGTATGTATTAATATTTGGGTTAGTCTGAACTTCAACATGCTTAGCTCAAATTTTTTGGATTTATTTGAACTAGCCTATGAAGCTCAGTCATGTGAAAACAACAAAATAAAGGCTTATTTGACAACTTATTCTAAAAATTATTTTCTGTTCTCTAAAACAAAAATAGTAATTTAGGTAACATATTTTTAGAAATTGTTCTAAAAAAAACCAAATATTATTTTAGAGGATAGAAAAATGGAAACATCTTTTAACTATTTTGAAATTCTTGTTTTAAAAAACAAAGAAGAATGCAAAAAACACCTATTTTTGTTATTTTTTTTCTCAAAACATATCTTATAAAACACTAGTTCTCAAAGTAATAAAACAAAAAAAAAAAATAATTTCAAACAAACCCTAATTTTCTCTAGTCTAGCTCTCGAATTTTTTCACTTATTCTGACTCACTTATTGGATGTCAAGTTTCACTCAAATTACCATCTTTAATAATTACTCCACTAGAGTTCAAGTACATAAGTAAAATTAGAGGTTTGGAATGTCTCTTAGTTAGGGCCGTGTGAAGAATTTTTAGTACTTGAGATGAAATTATTTAAGAGGCTTAGTGTAGTGTCATTTATCTATTTTCATATAACTTTTTTCACTCTTTGAGTTGTAAAATCATATATTTAATTTTGTAATTAAATAATTTTAACATTTCATTTTCAATAGATAATCAATTTTAACTTTAAAAATTTATTTGAATAGTAATAACTGTTAGTGGTATCATCAATAATAATCTCTAAGTAATATATGTATTTGAAAAAGAGTATTTTAATGTTTTGATATAATATATGCATGCTATCCTTCTAACTAGAGAATGATCAATTGATATTGGGAATATGAGTGATAGGTGCAGCGGAAAAATTTTTAATGGGAAGATATAATTACAATTAAGGGAGAATCTCATCTAGAGTCCCTCCAAGGATGAAAAATTACAGTCAGGATATATTATGAAATTATTCTACAGACTCAATGATTATTTTTTCAAATATATTTTAGAGAAGAAATACACAATTGCCTTTAGTGAGAAAAGGCAACAAATATAAGTTCATATTTTTACAACTATATGTTCACGAATTTACAACTTTGGATTCATATATTAATAAATAATTATTTATTGAAAATGAAATTTTTATTTAAAATTGACATGTTCATCTCAACTAATTTAATAAATTTAGAACTTAAAATTTAAATATTTAAAAATTATTTGCAAAAAGGATCATTGGGCTTGTAAAATAATTTCAAAACGTATTGGATCTTAAGTGTAATTTTTTTCCTTAAGGTCCCTAGATGAGATTTTCCCTACAATTAATGCTTGATATAAAAATAATGTTATAAGCAAGAAATAAATTCTTAATTAAAACATTTCATTAACATCAATACTTAATGAAAAATAATGACTAATTATATTGGGTATAAGTAAGCATTTTTTAGGCATAAGGCCATGGTCTTAATGACCTTGAAGTATACACGGTCCCACTCCCGGTGCAAATCTCCACCATCCATTTTGTTATTATTTAATTTAGTGGCTGATTTTTCTTCTTAATGTAACCATAAACATTGTTGTGGATAAAGCAATCTATTCTAAACCATCCATTTCTTCAAGACTATTTTCAACTTAATACAATCTACTCTTTTTTTTTTTTAACCATAAGAACCTATGAATATCCTCTTTTTGCTCCAAAAAAAAAAAAGAACCTATAAATATGAAGCATCATAGTAAACACACACAACCATCAATGTATATTCAATATAAATGAAACCATGAAAATTTTCTCATGCTAGTTTGGCAGTAGTCTAGTGTTTCTTTGGTATTTTTTTCCTGTCAAGCAAATATCCGAGATTCTAATCTTCATGAATAAGACAATAGAACTTAGCCAATGCTTATCGCCCTATGAAAAAAAAAACGAAAACAAAAACAAAAGATTAATAGCATTCACAGACCACAAAAACAAAAGATTCTACTCTTGCTGGCCACCTTTGTTCTTGGTTCACACTACATCGTAGAAAGTGGGCCCAAAGATTATATTTTAATGTAATTTTTAATTTTTAATGAATTATTTTTTATTGTATACAGGCATTTTGCTATTAAAATGGAAGCAATCATTTCAAGACAGACACTAAATGCCTCTTTGAATGAAAATATAAACCTTACTGCAATACACTATGAAGAACTAATCCCCTGTTAGATTCAATCCTGTTGATCCTTTTTTTTTTTTATAATTTTGCGTACATCCCGTAGATAATATCTAATGAAATTGTTATCTTCTTTGATGGGCTCACAACGGAATGATTTTAGGCCCAAATAAACTATCAAAGTGTTAAATGGATCCTCTGATTTTAGTCCCCTGATAAGAACCGTGGCGGCTTCGAGCTAAAAGTGTAGCTTTTCTATAAATTTTGGCGATGAACCCTTCGCATCTTCAACCTCAAAAGATGGAGAAGAAACCCCAAAATTTTGTCTTTCCTGGCACATATTATGTGCCATCATTTTCTTGCTGAAGGCTTTGAATCAAGTTTTGCTGTTACTGTTTTAGAATCGAAATTTTTTCTTCTTACTCTCTGATCTTAGTTTTCTAAATACTTTGATTTACAATCTAACTTGGTGGTTCGATATGCTGGATTTCTTCCTTGTCCTAGGTTTAAATATCTGTGTTGCGTGTTTGAAATCTGGTTCTTCTTTATGGAGATTGTATAGTGTGATAAACTTATTAGTTGAATGAGCACTGGCTTGGAAGTTTTCTGAGTCCCGTTCCAAAGTTTGTCCTGTCGTTCTTGCTTTCTTGTTTGTTTGCTGTTAAGTACTCTGTAAGATTGGTTTTTTCTGGGGTTTACCTGAGTTTTTAGATCCTAGGGTTTTTTCAGCAGAAAGCTAAGCAAAATGATGAGGATTTTATGTCCAAACGTGATGTGGAATCAATGATCCATTAGCTTTCAAAGTCCTCTGATTGCTGCTACTTGTTCTAACTAATGATAATTGTAGTTCCACACAGCTTATGAGATATATATGAGGAGTGAATTGCTGGGAAATCAGGTTCCCTTCATAATCTGAAATCAAGCACCAAATTTCATAATCTGATATGCTTTAATCTGTTAGATTATACGAGCATGGTGCAACAAAAATATCTATCGGCCATGGTTCCTTAATGGTTCATGTGTCTGTCTGAAATGACTTGTGAAGCAGAATCATGGCTGGACAGGCAGAATTATAGCTCAGTTCTATGTTTTGTCTTTCAAGATGTAGTTAACTACTCTGGATTAGGATCTTAAAATTTATCAACCTTGATTAGAGTATTATTTGTTGTACTTGTCATGAGCCATGTGTAGAATCTTAAACTTTGTGTAATGCACTGAATCTATCCTAGTTTTTTTTTTTTCCCCTTGCGTACTCCCCTGATCCATATGAAATTGGGTTGGATCACAAGAGTTGCAATTGCATACTCAAGTCTCAAATTTGAGATTTTTATAGTTAAACTAACGTAGTGCTGGTTGGTTTATGCTAGTTTCTATCAAAAGGAAAAGCCTCTAAAGTGACAATGGATGAGATGGGGTGGAAAAGAAAAGTATAAATAGATTTTTTTTTTTTTCATTTGATCTATATTTTTAGGTTCAGTAGAATAATTTTTTTACAACTTCTTTGAGACACCTCATTTTCCCACAAGTTCTCCAAGAACTCTCGGGAAATTGTGATGCTGATTGCCGACAAGATTCAAAGAAAAGAGTTTCATAGAAAAAATGGTTGAAAGATATTTGTAATTTGTTATTAGATTTTAATCTCTATTTGTTGTTATTGTTACTAAATTTTAATTATTTGCTCGAGAGAAGTTTTTTATGTAGTCAGTAGTCACTTATCATTTATATGCCGTATTTTACCAATAAAAAATGAGTTAAAGTATACATTTAATTTTTTAAATTTATATAAAATTTTATTTTAATTTCTTAATTTTATAAAATATCTTTTTCAATTATTGAATCCTAACACAATTAGTTTCATTAAAAAAAAATTTACATTGAACTTTTAAATATTGATCAAATGTTATCAAATGTTGACATTAATTTTAATTTTTTTAAAAATAACAATAATTGTATAAAAATAATAATTTGAAACTAATAATATTGGGGTTAGATGATGAAAATATATTTTATAAAATTGAATGATTAAATTAAAATTTTATATAAAGTTAGAAGATTAAAAGTATAATTTAACCTAAAACATAATATAAATCTACGTACTTGTAACTTGTAAAAGGTAAATGTATAAAAATATCCACCAAGTGGCAGGTAGGAGTATTTAGTAGCTTAAAGTGAGAAAAAAAGATAAAAATAATCATAGCATTATTGTAATTAGTGTAAAAGTGATTAAATCATTAACTTTATCCTAATACTGTTAGTTTTTAGTGTTAAATGCTAATTGTGTTTATCACGTGTCAGTTTTGTTGATGTGGACTAAAAAGGAAGACAAAAAATATCTACGAAGTTGTTAGTTAGGAGCATCCAATAGTATAAAATGAGAAAAAAAATAAAAATACTCATAACGTTATCAAAGAGGCAAAAGTGATCAATCCATCAAATGTTAATTTAGCTAACACTTAAGCAGAAATTGATTATGTTTCATTAACATAAACAAGAAATATTTCTAGGTAAAATTTTATAGAGGTTGATCAGTCATCATAAAATATTGTTTTGATCGACCATCAAGTTAAAACGTTTGCTTTTTTGTAGCAATAGTGAAAGCCATTTTAGAGTTTTGAATTTATCATGAATGAAACTGCTTAAGGTTGAATCTTTGATTGTATATAACAGATCTCACTATGTTGAATCTTAGGTTTTGTAGACAAGAAAAATGAGTGGAAAGGTAGGGAGGAAGTGGGTGAGATACGTCAACGAAAAAATAACCGATAATTTAGGTCAAGCGCGACGGGCCAGTCCAAATCCGCCCAAAAAATTTAGAGCCAAGATGAAAAAAATATTAATTTTTTATTATTCAGGCCTATTCAGGCTGTCCAAATAGGCCTGAGGAAATCTGGGCCAAGCCCGATCGAGTTCGGGCTTGGCTCGAATACCTGAATAAAAAAATAATTTTTTAAAAATATATAAAATATGATAAATATTAATTAATTTTTTAAGTTTTATATCATTTTATATCAAAATACTATATATATAAGTATTTTAATGTAGTTATTTTTTTAAAAAATTAAAAATAGTTATATTTCATATTTTTATTATTTTTAATCAATAAAATATTTCAAAATAATATTTAAAATATATTTTAATATTGATTTTTATATTTTAAGACTCAATTTTTTTTAAAATTTTTTTGAGTCCTATAAATCATTTGCATGTAAAAAAATAATTTTATATTTTTTATAAACTAAGATAATTAATTTTAAAGTAAAAATAAAATTAAAAATAATTTTAAAAATAAAATTTAGGCATGTATGAATTCTCGACTCTACTACTAGATAAACATAATAAATAGAATAATATTCTTGAATAATTACTTGGTTATTGTCCATGCTAGATTTGGTTAAAAATTAAGAGTGAACTAGAATAAGAATTCCTTATATGTAAAAGTTAAACAATATAAAAAGTTAAAGAAAAATAATTTCAAAAAAATAATATTTTACTCATAATTAAATAATTTTTTTATATAATATAATGATGGGAATTTTTTTTATATTCATAAAAATGAAAGTACAATTTACCTAAAAGTTATTAAAAACTTTGAACTAATTAGGATAATAATTTTAAATTAGTAGTCTAACTGTAATTGAATTGAGATCAACTTAATCATAATTAAAATAATTTAATTTAATTAAAATATGTAAAATATTTATATATGACTATGATAAGAGGAATATTTAAACAACTAAGACATTAATTTATAAGTACATTAATTTATAAGTAAAGGAAACATTCATGAATAAATTATACATAATACAACAAAATAATAACAAAGCTACTTAAGTACAAAGTTGATAAGTTATTTTTTATTTTATTATTTTAAAATTAAGATAATATTTTATACTTAATAGAATTATTTAAAAATTAAAATTGGTTCAAAAAATAAAGAAAAAATACTTTTAAAAAGTTTCGAGTATTTGGGCCAGCCAAAATAAAGACGAAGCCCGAAGGTGTTAGGATCGGATTTGGCTATATAGGCTTTTTAAAATGGGTAGAATACTTTAAACCTGATCCAAATAAGCCCGGCCCAAATTGAGCCCGACCCAAATAAGCCCGGCTCGCTCAAATTATCAGCTCTAGGTGGGATATGTCATCTCAATCAACCTTTGTAGAAAATTAACTTCAGGATATTTTTTATTTACGTCAATGAAAAAATAGTCAATTTATGTTTAGATGTCAGTTAAATGGTCAACATTTAAGAGATTTAATGAATTGGTCATTTTTGCACCAATTTCAGTAATGTTATGAGTATTTTTGTCCCTTTGCTCACTTTAGGCTGCTAAATGTTCTTGGCCAACAACTTCTTTGGTATTTTGCTCCATTTTTAGTTCATGTCAACAAAGATTAACTCATGGCAAGCACAGTTAGTAGCACAATTAGTATCTAACATCGAAAAGTAATGGTGTTAGAGCAAAGTTAACAATTTAATCACTTTTGCATTAATTTTAACAACATTATGAATATTTTTACTTTTTTTTCACTTTAAACTATTAGATATTCCTGGCTAACCACTTGATAGGTATTTTTATACTTTAATCCTTTTTTAAATTGGGAGTAAATTTTAGGCCTAGCATGACCCCAACATCTCCCATCAGAAACCACCGCATTTGAAATGTTTTGCTGTCTCCTCTTTACAATTCGACGATTCTTATGGATTGTTTTCTTAAGAAATACCCAATTTTACTAATCATTTATGTATTTTATTTCAAATTTTAAATTGGAAGTAAATTTTTCATTTCATCAAAAATCAATATGTGCCCAGCAAGTCTCCATGAACTATACAATAATTATTTTTCCCGATACTTTTTTTTTTCATTTACATATTTTAGGAGTATTTTTTTTTGTCATTTTCTCTTCATTCTATCATGTTTTTGGGTTTTCTGTTGCTATTATTCCCCATATTTGTTTTAAAATTTTAAATGTTATCATATGAATGCATTTTAATTTGATTTAAAAAAAACTGTGTTAAGATTTTCGTCTTCATGAACAATAAACGGTGGAAGTGTGGAAGTTCTTTGCTTCATTATTCCCCATTTTTTCTTTTCTCTTCTTACTGTGTTTTTTTTTTTAACACTGCACATGTACCTCCTTTTATCAGAAATAATCCGTTCGAAGGCGAAAATTAAATGTGTGCATTTTTTTAGCAAAAATTTAAACATTAATTTGTCATGTTATAAAGTACCAATCTCTTTCATTAAATTTAATCCGGCTGGTTTTTCTCTTATTGTTATTGATGTTTGTATAATTATTTTAAATTTATAATTATAATTTCAAAATTTGTGAAATAAAGAATTGAAAATTTGAACAAAAACGAATTTAAAGGATGGGAAATATTATTTATTAGATAAAGAGAGAATGTGGAGTGAAGATGGAGACAAAGCAAACGAAGAGAGGAACATGGGACGTGGATGGGAGAAGTTTGTAACATTTGCAGTGCTCCTCACTATCCAGACTTTTTTGTATTGATCAAAACCCAATTTACGTGATATTTTGAGTCAATTGTAGGAATTTCTCCTTTCTTTTTTAAATGACACTTAAGTTACAATGGAATAATTTTATTTAATTTAAGTAAAGTTTGAATAAATTTTAAAATCTAAAATAAATCTTTTGGGTTTTTAATTAGTATTTTCATATAATGCAATATGTTAAAACTGAGAAAACAAGTTACAAATTAAAACTGAGAAAACAAGTTACAAATTTAATAAGACAAGATTATAAATTTGAGAGACAATATTACAAATTTCTAGTGTTTAAATAATGATATGTTAC